TTGGCATAGTAAAATGGCATACCTTATGTAAAGCAGTGAACAACTCAAATGAATGCCAGAGAGAGTCTGAGGGTCTGTGAAATCATGAGAGTCTATAGCAGGGCACGCTTATACATCAGCACTGTGCTTCGTGTGCAGCAAAATCAAGCTTGGTTTATTGGAATTTCCTTTCCAAATATTTTTGAGACATGGTTGTTTGAATCCATGGATGCAGCATCTGTAGATATGTGTGACTAACTGTACTGCTGTCCTACAATGATGATTGATTACTAATGCTGTTGGAAAATCTGTGGAAGCTGGAGTGAAACAAAGCCTCCTGTAAGATAATACTTGGAGTGGAGATGAAAGAGAAGCTCCTTTCCCACTGATGCATGTAGGCATGGGAAATCCATTGGTAGATTGTTTAGTATTTTGCAATGTTCTGACTTAACAGCTAAAAAACTTTCTTTTTTTCATTGTCCAGCATTCAAAACCATACACTGAAATTAGAAATACTATCAGTACTGCTTCTGGTACCAATTACATATCACTGAGCTGAGTCATGTGCTCAGTATTACCATGTTTCTTAATTCTTAGCATGTGTCCACCTCCCCTGTAGCACTAGTTTGCTGGACCCCAAAACCATTCACAGGGTTTTAAAAAATGCACATACAGAGTAGATCCTGTAGTAGATCCTGTAGGCCTAAAGCAGGGGTCCTCAAACTTTTTAAACAGAGGGCCAGGTCACAGTCCCTCAAACTGTTGGAGAGCCCGATTATAATTTGAAAAAAGAAGAAGAATGAATTCCTATGCACACTGCACATATCTTATTTGTAGTGCAAAAAACACTTAAAAACAATACAATAGTTAAAATGGAGAACAATTTTAACAAATATATACTTATTAGTATTTCAATGGGAAGTGTGGGTCTGCTTTTGGCTGATGAGATAGGATTGTTGCTGTTGTGTGCTTTCAAGTCATTTGAGACTTAGGTTGACCCTGAGCGAGGGCCGGGTAAATGACCTTGGAGGGCCGTATCTGGCTCCCAGGCCTTAGTTTGAGGACCCCGGCCTAAAGTCTGCCTGCCACAAACAAGGTAATACAGTTCTTAGTTATGTGAGTGTGGAGGAGAGCAAACCACAGACCACTTACTACAATGCAAACTGAGCCCTGCCACATGCACAATGGAGGACCTTCTCACAGCGAGACCAGAGGCACTCCCAAGTGGCCAGCTACTGGTCAATGGACATTTAGTACAATGCCAAGTTTTTAACTTTGTGTTTTAAATACATTTTAACTGTGCTCTCAATTTGCTTCTGACATGATAAATAGTTAGCAGTTAATAAAAATTGCCTTGTGTTCTGACAACTTCATTCTAGTGAAATGTTTCGGCTTCAGAGATGGTAATGGCTATTCCCAATTTAGACTCTGGAGCAACACAAATAGCACAAGAAACTATCTGCCATGATTATGAGAAGAGTGCATAGTATCCCCTTAATCACTTGCTTTGATTTCTCAGGTGACCTAACTTCCAGCTCATTTCCTGATCTCCTCAGTTGACAGGAGCTGGAACATGAGACAGTGAAGAGGGTTCAATGCACGGATCCTGCCCTGAGTTTCCGAAACGCTTAAGTAGCCTGTCACATACACCCTAATTTTAGAGACATAGCTCACTTGTAAGGAATTTGACTTGACTCAAATCTGTTTGTACCCAGTTTCTCATTTCTCTTCTCCATGGAAAACATCAAATATATCTCCCATTTTTGCTAGAATATCACTAGGAATCCATAAGTGAACCATTTGTAAAAACCTGAAGAGGAAAATCTGAAAAAAATAAATGGCACACTTGGTGGGGAGCTACTACTTTGTGAAAGTGAAATAATGCCATTGGCACTGTAGATTTGGGAATGTAGTTTTGTGTAATTTGATTCCATTTATGTATGGTTTGGGAATGGGTGATGGAAGTAAATCAGTGAGACTTTAAAAGTCTTTAAAATTTTTATGTGCTGCATAGTTGAACCATTTTGAACAGGAGAAGTAAATATATGAAGTTCATATCTGTATTTACAAATCTTTGGAGGCTTGTGGCTCTGACACAGCTCGGCAGTGAATCCATTCAAGGTAATAGTCCAGAACCTAAAGATGCATGCAATATAGGGGAATGAACCCTATAGCCAGATGAGGCTCAGCACCTTGAATAGCTCCTTTAAACTTCAGATTAATAGCCTTTAAACTTCAGATTAAAATTGGATTCACTCCAATGTCATTGGAACCACAAGCATTTACTGCTACGGTCATTTGTTAATGTTAAGCCTATTATGCATAACAATGTATAAAATGTGACTTAAGGGTTGAATCCTAAGTGGAGGCTGTTATAATACTCATGTACTGATGGGGGAAAAAGGGGTCCAGTGTAAATTTTCCCTACATGCACCTTTCTCAATATTCCCATTCTGTCACTGTAGACCAGTGGTTCTCAACATGTGACTCCCCATATGTTTTGGCCTTCAACTCCCAGAAAGCCTAAAAGCTGGTAAACTGGATGGGATTTCTGGGAGTTATAGTCCAAAACACCTGAGGACCCACAGGTTGAGAACCACTGCTTTTGATGAAGTGTAAGTATATTTCAAGCTTTGAGATCAGGTATATCCCTGAAGCTTGCCCATAATTTTCACTGGAAGCCAAATATCTGCCAATTGGAGCCCCCGGTGGCGCAGTGGGTTAAACCCCTGTGCCGGCAGGACTGAAGACCGACAGGTCGCAGGTTCGAATCCGGGGAGAGCTTGGATGAGCTCCCTCTGTCAGCTCTAACTCCCCATTGTGGGGCATGAGAGAAGCCTCCCACAAAGATGGTAATACATCAAAACATCCGGGCGTCCCCTGGGCAACGTCCTTGCAGACAGCAATTCTCTCACACCAGAAGCTACTTGCAGTTTCTCAAGTCACTCCTGACATGACAAAACAAAAAAATCAGCCAATTGGAGCCAGGTGCAAAATAATGAGGAATGTGTTCAAGGAAGTGCAAAATGGTGATCCAAGAAGTAGAGTTAGCTGGGCATTGTTTTATATGAGCCAAACACTGAGAATGACCTTTCTGTAAAAGATCAAATCTATACCTGAGTTCAGACCGCAGAAGAGCCAAATTTAGAAGCAGAGATACCATCCCTTTGCCATTACTAAACAATTTAGAGCCATACATTCTTTTTTTTTTTTAGAAGTATTTTATTAAGGTTTTTAATGACAGTACATCAGTAGGATGTTAATCATTGACATACTAAATTACTGTAAAAATTTGGGAGGGGCAGGATAGGAAGGAGAGGAAAGGAGCGGGGTGGGGGTGGGACTATCTATGGGATGGGGTAGGGGGGTGTGAGCGAATAGTGTGGATGTCCCTATCTCATCGGGAAACGTAAAAAAGGGGGGGTAGTGGGTGGTAGAGGGAGTGGGACGTGGAGTGTGTTAGTATAATATTGGTTAATATATTTTCCCTCTGATTCGTTATTTACCCCCGTTGATTGGTTAGTATTCATGTGTTCTTTCTGCGTATTTCTTCATTCTTCTTATTTTCTTTCCCTTTCGTCATTCTTTCTCACTTCCCATCTAAGTATTTCCTTATAGGAGACCAGTCTGTTATCTTACTTCTTGTCGTCTGTTTAGATATTACATACTGTGTCAGAGTATCCATATTCATTATATCCATCATCTTAAGTCTCCACTCATCTATCGTTGGGATGTCCTCGTTTTTCCACTTGCTTGCCAACACTAGTCTCGCGGCGGTCGCCATGTGGAAAAAGAGTTTGTCTTTATTTTCTTCTATTTCGAAATCAAGAATTCCTAGCAAGTAGTATTCTGCTTTTTTCTCCATTCTTAGTGCTAGTATTTTTGTCGTTATTTCATGTATTTCCTGCCAATTTTTTTAACTTTCTTGCAGGTCCACCAGAGATGGAAAAAGGTGCCTTTGTTGTCTTTACATTTCCAACACTTTTCAGTTACGTTTTTGTAAAATTTTGCCAGTTTGCTAGGTGTTAGATACCACTGATATAGCATTTTGATCCAGTTTTCTCTTAAACTGTAGGAGTTGGTCCATTTCAGTTTTGTCTTCCATATTTTTTCCCACGCCGGTATTGCAATTGAGTGGCCTAAGTTGTCCGTCCATTTTGCTAGGTAGCTGTTTGTTCCGTTTTTTTCTGTTTTCCAATTTAGAAGGATTTTGTAAAGTTTTGTTATTCCTTTCTTTTCTGTTGCCATGATCCTTTCCCATTGTCCTTCTCTGGTTTCAAATCCTCCATTCTTGTCTCTGTTGAATGCCTCATTCAACTGTCTGTGTTGGTACCACGAGATTTCCTCGTATGTTTCTCTGATTTCTTCTAGTGATTTTAGTTTAAAACCTTCTCTATCTTTCTTAAGTATGTCTTTATATTTGGGCCATTTTTCCCATCCCAGTTCTCTTCTTTGAGTGGCCTCTAACGGGGAAATCCATAATGGAGTCATACATTCTAGCTGATTTAGTACAGATCTTCCAGCAATATACCAGTCACCTTCTTTTTGCACGCCCTTGGTTTTAGCATAGGTCTTTAATATATTATTCTTTTAGTGTAAAACTGCAGATTTTAAGAATGGTATCTTTCTACCTTATTTTAAACTTCCATATGTCTGCTTAAGGAATTTAAAAACATATCAAATATGGTGTCTACTTTTGTGATGATAGAAGATGAGAGCACAACTAGAGAGGGATATGTTTGTGAAGATAATACTGGGTTGAACTGTTCCAGATACCTGGCCATGGTACTGATTCCTATGTTTTTCTTCCTTTATTTCCAAATGATTACATTTAGTTGTTGCTTCCAGTCAGTTGCATCTCAGGAATCTAAGACACAGAGACAGTGTGTGTGTGAGAGAGAGGTTGTATGGGGTTGTGTGTCAGAATATATTTTCAATGTCACCTTCCTTTGTCTGTTTTCATGTACTTTAAAATAGTCTTGCCTTATCTCTAAAGCATGCTGACTGTTTTGTTTCCACAGGTGCAGCAAGCAACACCGAATGTTCCTGTGGACGCAACCACTTCACCTGTGCAGTTAGCGCCTTTGGTGAATGCACTTGTATTCCTGCTCAGTGGCAGTGTGATGGTGACAATGACTGCGGGGACCATAGCGATGAAGATGGCTGCAGTAAGAAAATAATCCCTTATTGGGAGGGAAAACGAGAAGGAGGAGAGAGGAAGGAATTGGGTTGAGGATATCTTCAGTATACACTGGTGCTATAGTCCTTGGTGCTTTAACATTGGGGAGGGGATTTTTTGCCATTGTCCAGTCTTATAAAGACTTCAGCAAAGCCAGTGATGTTGTTAAAAAGAAGCATACTGGAACATGTTCTGTTCTCCAAGCATAATATTCACTAACCTCCCTGTAAGCGTCAAATCCTTTTTAATTATTATTTAATTAAATGGTATTTAACAGAGGAAAGCAAAATGGTGTTTGCAATTGGGGGGGGGGGGGTGTTGCTTCAAAATCTGTCAGGCGTAGGTCATGGTGGCTGTGTGGGGTGACAGCCAGTTCTGGTGTAATTCAAGATTACTTCTTACTCACTGGCCAGTCCAGTTGCTAGCGAAGAAGGAAAATGTGCCAGGCATTGCAGAGTAGTTTAAAAGGGGCAACAGCGAACAGGAAGGTCAGGAGAGATAATCTTAAAAAGGGTAGGATGAAAGCAAAATCCATTGTTTGGAGCTTAGAAGAGAGACAGGACAGATATGGAAATAGAAGTGAAAGAAACAATTTACAGGGGGAATAATTGGATAAGGGCATCTGAAAAAAGAGGTGCAAATTTGGACTTGAGTCAGAAAATCTTTGAATTATGCAATTTCATCTCTGTAGGCTACACTACTAAAACATTACCTTGGTGTGCTAGCCGTGCTACCAATTCCCAAGGCCCCTATAGCTGCAGTAATTGTTTCCTTTGGCTATGGTAGGGTTGACTTTGAAGAGATCTCCAACTCACCCTGTCATCAACAGACCTGCTCACATCTTGCTGTGGCTTCCTTGATTGAGTCAGTCCTCTTGTAATGGATCCTTCCTTTTTTCCTACTGCATCTTAACTTACCGATCCTTGTTGTCTTTTCTAGTGAGGCATTTCTTATGATGTGGCCAAAGTATGAACAATACAAATGACAATTGGAATGGCTCCTGGAATATGCTTTTGGATTGTGATTTTAACTAATTATTTTAAGTGATATGTTTTCATTATGCGATTTTAAAGTATATGTTGTTTTATATGTACTCAAGGCACCAAATTGTGCCTTTGCTGTGAGTTACCCTGAGTCCCCTTCGGGGTGAGAATGGCAAGATATAAATGTGGTAAATAAATAAACAAACAAATAAAAACTTTATAATCCGCCCTATCCCACCGTAGGGACTCAGGGACATTTTCAACAAATTGGCAAACATTCAGTGCCATAAAATTCTGGACGAAGAACAAAATAACCAAAACCACCCAAGTTCCACAAAACAAATCGACATGATATTCTACACCTCATTCTTTTTATATGCTTGGACGTATAAGACCATTTTTTAGCTGTTTTTTAAAGGAGGGTAAGGAGGGGGCCATTTTGATATCTTTAGTGGAGGGAGTTCCAGAGATGGGGGGCAACCATGGGGAAAGCCCCCTCTCTCGTTCCCACCAGCTGTGCTTGAGGCAGGGGTGGGACTGAGAAAAAAAAGTGTTTTCATCAAATGTTGTTGAAAGTTTTTCATTGAATAGAATAAATGACCTTAAAAATTGCTGTTGAAAGCTACGTTTTATGTGTCTGGTAATGATTCTTCAAGATTATCACTTATTTCACTCTTCGGTTTTAGAAGAGCAAAAATCTTACCAGAGGTCTCAGGTTTTTGAATCAATATAGTGCAGTTATAGTCCTGAGATCTTTACTTCTGCAGACAAGTCCTCCAACAGCAGCAGAACACTTGTCACAATAATGCCAGAACAAAAAGGGGATCTTCTGCATCCAACTGTACATAGAAAGGAAATCTCAAGGTGAACATATAGTTCACTAATATAAAGCAAACCATAAAGACTTGCATATCAGATTTTGAACTTAGGAGCAATGCTTCACATAATGAATAAACAGATAGAAAATGAATTTACTTTGTTTTTAAAATACATGGGCAGAAACTTATTGGTGGTTTTATCTAGATTAGACTGACTGAGACTTTTTGTATATATTAATTCACAGTCAATTTAGTTATGCTTTTGTAAGGGTACATTACCTTACATAGTTACACTTAGTTTTCTGTCGTCTTGGCAGCCAGGCTGCTGCTTCTTTCTCTCCTGCTCCTTCTTAATCGTTCCATATGTTTAAAAAATTGGCAGTTTTATTAGTGTGGGGAACTTTTCATGATAACTGAACAGACAAGGTGGAGCTTTGTGCATGAGGCAATGCTTTAAATAGAAAGAGGAGGAAATAAAAGAGCTTGGGGGAGAGATCTAGAGCTCAGATCAGGTTACATCAATTTTACATAGGCAAAACAGGATTCCTTTCTCTAGAGGGAGGACATGAAAAACAAAGGAAATGAGAGAGAGAGAGAGAGAGAGAGAGAGAGAGAACACAAAATAAAAGAAGGAGATCAAACCATACATAAAAGGAATAATGATACCGATTTCATTTACTGTCCTTACATCTTCTATATCTTGTTCTATATAGATTTCCTTTTTTCTTGCCAGCAATCCCTTTCCCTAGTACAACTTGGGGTATTTTGAATTCCCAGTTGTGATTTAAATGATTATTTTTACCTTGGATGAGGGAAAGCTATAACAGTGAAGTGGGATATTTCCGAAAATGCTTGTTCTGTCTTATGTGCAAGTTTTTAGATGAAAACGGTGTTTTTAAGGCAGAGGGCAAACTAAGGGCAAAGAATCCATTCTGTTGGAGATACAGAAATAGTAAGGGCTGCGTGTGGGTGGAACTGAACAGATGCAGGTTACAGCCTGAGTGGGAGAAGCACATCTGGCAAAAAAACCTCCCTGATAATTGCTTTGTATTGGGTACAAACATCAGACTAACAGTTATCTCAGGTTACCACTTAATTTTCACCTTTGCTGACGGTCCTCAGCTGCGTGTCTGCTCAAGTGTTGTCATGTGGGATTCTTCTCGGTATGATTTCTTAATGGGTTTTGGTGATGTTATGGATCTCACATTACCTAGCAGTTCATTTGCAACCACTGGTTTTGTCCTATAAACCTACTTACCAGTGCTCTGTGAGAAATCTCACTTCTGCGCATCAGCACAGAAATCATTAGCAGAGCTGTTTCAAGTGATCAGGGATACATTACTATCCAGGCCAAAGGTCGCTCAAATAGCCCACTGTGAAGAATTTGCTGTGATGAAATTGCTTGGATTCACTCTGATTTAGATGCCAGAATGGATACAGTTCCCATGGGTGTAACCTTGGGCCCTGCTTTTCCAGTGTGTATAGATACCTTTCGGTTTGTGCAGCCTGAGGACATGGATTGGATCCTTGGAGAGATGAGAGCCACTGCATGTGTACTAAATTCTTGCCCTTCTTGGCTAATTAACCAGGCTAGACAGGAACTGGATGAGTGAGAAAGAGAAGTGATTAATGCCTCTTTACAACAAAGCAAGGTTCCAACATGCTTGAAGGACACTGTGATGCTACCACTTCTTAAAAACCACCCCTGGATCTTACTATGCCTTCCATTCTTGGGCAAAGTTCTGGAGCATGTCGTGGCTTTGCAACTCCAGGGATTTGTGGATAAGACAGATTATCCAGATGTGTTCCAGACCTTGTTAGGGAACAGAGACAACTTTGGTGTCCTTGGGAGATGACCTATGCAGGAAATTGGACAGGGGGAGTGTGTGTCAGTGGCTTTCGATGCCATTGACCATGGTATCCTTCTGCATTGCCTCTCTGTGATGAGGTTTGGGGGCACTGCTTTATATTGGTGGTGTTGTTTCCTGGAAGGGCATTCACAGAGTGTGTGGCTGGAGGATTCCTGCTTGACCTTGTGGTTATTGGATTATGGAGCCCCTCAGGATTCAGTCTTATCCTCTTGCCATTTAACATTTTGTGAATCCACTGTCAGAGATGCTTTTGAGTTATGGAGTCAGGTGTCAGCAATATGTTGATGATATCCCAGGTCTATTAATCTGTAACATATAAAGATAAAGATATTAGGATCTTCCTGTCTCAAATGAGGTAATAGTTATTTTATGACTCTATGTGTGCGGGAATGTCTGTGCTTTCAAGTTGCCTATCAACTTAAGATGATCCCATGACTTTCATAGGGTTTTCTTAAGGAAGAAATATTCAGAGGTGATTTTGCCAGCTCCTTCTTCTAAAATGTAACCTACAATATTCTGATATTTCTTGGCATTTTCCTATTCAATTACTAACCAGGGCCATGCTTAACTTTCAAGTAAGCCGCCTTGAGTTCCCTCCAGGGTCAAGAAAGGCGGGATAGAAATGAAGTGAATAATAATAAGTCCAGACTGGATCTGGTGCCTTTAGGGCATTAAGGCCTCTTCTGTGCCTAACCCCCAATCTTTGAAGAGTTATACTGCTGTGAACAAGGAATAATGAATGTTTTAGCACTTGTTGGAATAAAGTGTGCTGAGGAGGTGAGTAAAACATAATGTTGTCACTTTCCCCAACAGTTCTTGGGATGCTGACATCCCTGGCTGAAAGAACATAAAATCCGGCATAACAGAGAGCAGTGAATTATGACATGTCAAAACAAAAACTATGGAAAATATGGTGGCAAATTATATTAGACAGGCAACCTAAACATTATGAGGGCTTTCCAACAGTCAGTGTGGCTCTTTAAAAACCTCAAGAATTTTGACAGAGCACTTAGTGCTTTTCACACTTCCTATCGTGGATGGATGGATGGATAAATAAATGAATCAGTTTTAGGCTTTTTTCCTATATAAAACAAGAATAACATTAACTATGAATCAAATCCTATTTTCAACAAAAAACAAAACAGAAAGGATATGGAGAAAAAATGGCCATTAATAGGATTTGAAGTTTGAAGGGCTACTAAATGTTGTCTATGCAGAGGAGAGAACTATTCCCCTGTTGCAGCAGCTCCACTGGCTCCTGGTCTGCTTCCGGGTTAAATACAAAGTGCTGATCGTTACCTATAAAGCCTTTAATGG